GAATGTATAAATATGAACAGACAGACAGAAGTGATTAATAAATAAAAAAAAAATTGGCCCCACAGGATCCATAATTTCTGTTGCAAAGCTGGGGACTTTATGTTGTTAAATTTTGTCCTATTGTTCTCATGTCCACAGAGAGTTGGATGGCCTACGAAGAAAAGTTCTCTTTCTTTTTTTGATTTGGTAACAGCCACCAGTGACGTAAGCACCATAATTGATATATTTTTGTTGAAAAAGTAGCCAGTCAAGATGTCACATCCCAAAAAATATAGCTCTGAGGGGCTGTTTGGTTGTTGTTGGTAAAGTTGTGTATTTATGACACAACTTGAAAAGTTGTTGTCCACCTCATCAATTTTACTTTTATATTTTTCTTTGTTTGTTTTTTATTCCATTGGAATCATAAATTGCTTGTTTGGTTTGTAAATGTAACTTTAATTATTTGTTTGGAAAATGTAAAAAGTGATCCCTACTCAAATGATCATATTGGTTGGAATTATTTTTTTATTATTTTTTCCTGACTTCAATGTCAGCTTTATCCTAAAATCATGTCTTTTTTTTATGAAATCACTTTACAAGCCACATCAGCATATGAAATCACTTTACACTATTTTCATAACTACAAACAAACAATTGAAAGTGATGAAAGCTGACATTGAGACCCACTTTTTTACACTTTCCATCCTTTGACATTGAGACCCACTTTTTTACACTTTCCATCCTTTTACATGGTAAAAACATACAACCAAACAGCCCTGAGAACATATGGATTAATACGTAAACCATAAAATTTAATTATTTAAAAGCTAATATTCTTTGAAGGCATATTTATTGTCACGATTTTTTTTCACCAGATACTTTTTTTTTTTGCATTTCTTGCCTTTTCCCTCCTTTTCTTTAGAATAATTTTTCAAAACAGGCCCATTTAGTTTTTTATTTTTTAAAATCGACCGATTTTTTTTTTATTTATCAAAACCGACCCGATTTTATGATTAGCAGGTTAATTACTATCCTAAATAGTCGGGATTGCCAACCCCGACTATTTAGGATAGTAATTAGACTGTTAATCACAAAATCGGGTCGGTTTTGATAAATAAAAGAAAAAACAGTCGATTTTGAAAAATAAAAATCTAAATGAGACTGTTTTGAAAAATTGTTCTTTTCTTTATTGTTCGAGTTTTTTCTTGGTCCATTGGATAATAAATTTCACAAAAATATCACGACATAATAGGTGTTGTAGAGAAAGGTCATAAAATATTTTTATTGTGGACAAGTACTACATGGTTACTATAACACATAAAATCAAGATCAAGATCAAGATATTGATAAATGACAATGGCAGTCATGCGGATTTAATGAAAGTTCAAATCAAAGCTTACGGACACTAGCTAGCAGATGATCATTTTTATTATTCGGAAAACACAGATTAAAGAAAGAAGACATGAGATGATTAAAATCATAAGAGATTCTCGAAAATTGCTGGATCTCTAGATTATTCTTGAATCTCATTTATGAATATTTATCAAATTCTACGAGAGCGGAGAGTCCTAATCTGTTAGAATTGGTTCGGAAATAACTACTCAAGTTGGACCATTATTCAACTCTCAGACGTCAACCCAGACATCTATGTAAACTACTGCAAGTAACCAGGGTTAATTTCACAAAACTTATCCCTTAAAAATAAATCGAAAAAAAAAATCACAAAACCTTCTCTAAACTGTAGGGGGTGTTGCACATAACTCCTTGAACTTGTTTATCTCACATAACTGCACTGATATTTCGGATGTCTCCCAAGATCCTCTGAACTTCAAACTTTTCCCACCCAACTCCTCATATAATTTATAAATAACTAAAACGTTCTTGTAAGGCGAAAAGTCCAAAGTTCAGGGGAGAGTGTGTATGCTGCTTGTAAATGGCAAATGATAAAGTTTAAGATTTTTCTTACCATAAAAACGTTTTAGTTAGTTAATTGTAAAATGCAGACAACGAGTCTCGTGAGAAAAGGTTAAATTTCAGAGGGGCTTTGTGAGCTCCCCAAAGTTCAAAGGGGAATATGTGAAATTAATCCAAAGAACAACACCTTGAGCTTTTTCTAGAGACGTCTCAGAGACAATTCTCGTGCCTACAGACGGGTGCGGTCCACAAGAGACGCTCTCTTGCTTTAATGATCCAGTAGTGGAAACTAGTGACATCATGGATATATAGTTTTGTTTCTTTTCTTCTTTTATTTTTTTTCTCTGCTTTTTTCCTTGCCAACACAAAATAAAACCCTCCTATGTTGGCTCTATTATGAGTGGATCCTGCAACAGGGGCTCTTTGTGTAGCCACTTGAATCACCTTTTCAACAAAGAAGAACATCACCATCTACCATCACTTTCTCATTTGTAGTGAACCAAATATTCATAATTCTTCATTTGTTTTTTTTTTGGCCCCAGAAAGTTAGGGACAGTAGGAATCAATTACCACAAGTTGTAGTGGTAGTGGTAGATTTAGAATGTTAAGTTATTAATGCAATATATGGCTTATATGAATGGTCAGGTAATGGGAAAGGTGCAACGGCTAGGGAATTGTCTGCCAGGTTGGAAAATTTTCCTCTCTCCCGAGCAAGTATTTGAAGGCAGAAGATATTTATCTGGATCATCTTTTTTTGGCTTCTATCTTATGTATATATCTTTTTAGATATCCTTATCTTTTATGTTTTTTCTTGTTGTTTCATAGAAAGTTTAATTTCTACTATGCACATGTATGGCTGGCTTTGGTTCTTCCTAAAATTTGTGTTAACGGTGAATGACGGCAAGGCCCTCTCTTCATCTTCATGGATCTTTGGAAGAAGAAAGTTATACATCAATACTAGTAGAAATTCTATCTTTCTATATTACAACCTTTTAGACATTACTTGTGTCTAAGCTTTTGTAATTAACAATCTTTTGTTGTTTTTGGTTTTTTAATGAACGGGGTTATAACCCCTGTTTTTCGATCTAAAAAAAAAAGAATGTTAAGTTATTTGACAATGGAAACCCATGATTGATTGTGCTGAGATCATTGCACACCATGGAGCAATCTGATTGGAGACTATTTGTCCATCAATCACTGCTTGTTTTGCAGTGGTTTTGTTTATGCGCAAGCATTGTGTTAATACCCAAATAAAAATAAGGTGGTCCAGTGCACGAGGCTCCTACTACATTGGAATCTGAAGAAGGTGAAATGTACATAGTTTTGTACATAGTTTTATCCCAATATGCGGAGAGATAGAATCCAGACGAAAATTCTTAACTATAATTTTGGAATTTGTTTAGACAGAAATTTTGCTTGAGACAAGTGAACAGAATTTAAAGTCACATAAACAAATTCATGAGAAAAAAAAAATCCTCTCTCATCTGCTGAACTTTATAAAGAAAGAAAAAAAATTCGATCCCACATTCAACTTTACTTTCAATTGTTCAAACAAACAGAAAACGCATACTTTGAAAGTTTTGGTATTTTGAGTTAGTTGGGATTTTTTAAAGGAAAATCCAAATTACGGACGGTAGGAAGCAAAGTGCCAAAAGGTGGCGGGCAGATTCAGACGTATTCAGAATCTTTTGAATTGCAATTGATAACAAAACCCATGATTGAGTTTTTTGGCTGAAAAAGATCATCGGCACGAGGACCCAAGGACACAGGATTGGAGAGCGAGCTGTGAGTGGGTTTTATTTTTTAAATGGTTTCTTTTATAACTGAGGCTAAAACTAAAACATCCTTGAACATTTTTTTTATTAATTTTTTTTTTTTTGCATCCAGCTCTTATTATATAAAAGAATCAGCAACGACTACTTTGTTGCAATCTACGCCAAATGATCTGTAGATATGAAGATCCTACAGCTGAAGAGACTAGGAAATTTTCAGCAGATTAAGTAAATTAAGCAGAATGGTTCGGTTAATCAGTTCAGTAAATTTCTCAATAAGAGGGAAAAAAATATTACTCAAAAATGCAGAAAGAAAAATTTAACCTCTAACATAGATTACAATTAAGGGGGCGAAAAATATTACTCGAAAATGCAGAAAGAAATTTTAACCTTTAGCACAGATTACAATTAATAATGTTAATTTAAAAACTCTGTAACTCCTTCAGGCAAGTGACTAAAAGGCTTTGGAGTAAAAAAAAAAAATCTCATCCAAACATCAAACTGGATCCTAGAAATTAAATGTTTAACAACCACCCAAAATAAAAAATAAACAACAAATATTCTTTTTTTTTTTTTTTGCATATGCTACAGATCATTCATCCTCGCCCATTGGCTCCTCTTCGTTGTCACTCTCCAACTCATCAGCGACTGGCTCCTCCAGGGTTTCATTCTCCGGCTCATCCAAATTCTCACTCTCAGGTTCACCACTGTCATCATCAAAGAAGTTCTTTTGTGCAGGAACATGCATCTTCTGCTGAGACGAAATAATACCAGCAATCACTTTCATTGCTGCGTCTTCACGCCCTGTGCTGATTGAAGCTTCTCCTCCACTGGTAACCGATGGAATTGATGTATCCTGTGAAGCGTCGCCTTCTTGCGGTGGAGGTACAAAGAAGGGTATCTTACCCCGTTGCCAGTCTTGAAGAACCATCTTGGCTGCAGTTGTCAAATCAGGCTCGCCTCCCTATTAATAATGTAACATGGTTTTAGTTCTTTAGTGTTATATTTATCTTGTAGAATCATTTTAGATTACAGCAAGAGAGTTTATATATACTCTCAAATACAAATCAAAAGTGCTGGTTGTGATAATTATTATATAAAAGAATCAGCAACGACTACTTTGTTGCAATCTACGCCAAATGATCTGTAGATATGAAGATCCTACAGCTGAAGAGACTAGGAAATTTTCAGCAGATTAAGTAAATTAAGCAGAATGGTTCGGTTAATCAGTTCAGTAAATTTCTCAATAAGAGGGAAAAAAATATTACTCAAAAATGCAGAAAGAAAAATTTAACCTCTAACATAGATTACAATTAAGGGGGCGAAAAATATTACTCGAAAATGCAGAAAGAAATTTTAACCTTTAGCACAGATTACAATTAATAATGTTAATTTAAAAACTCTGTAACTCCTTCAGGCAAGTGACTAAAAGGCTTTGGAGTAAAAAAAAAAAATCTCATCCAAACATCAAACTGGATCCTAGAAATTAAATGTTTAACAACCACCCAAAATAAAAAATAAACAACAAATATTCTTTTTTTTTTTTTTTGCATATGCTACAGATCATTCATCCTCGCCCATTGGCTCCTCTTCGTTGTCACTCTCCAACTCATCAGCGACTGGCTCCTCCAGGGTTTCATTCTCCGGCTCATCCAAATTCTCACTCTCAGGTTCACCACTGTCATCATCAAAGAAGTTCTTTTGTGCAGGAACATGCATCTTCTGCTGAGACGAAATAATACCAGCAATCACTTTCATTGCTGCGTCTTCACGCCCTGTGCTGATTGAAGCTTCTCCTCCACTGGTAACCGATGGAATTGATGTATCCTGTGAAGCGTCGCCTTCTTGCGGTGGAGGTACAAAGAAGGGTATCTTACCCCGTTGCCAGTCTTGAAGAACCATCTTGGCTGCAGTTGTCAAATCAGGCTCGCCTCCCTATTAATAATGTAACATGGTTTTAGTTCTTTAGTGTTATATTTATCTTGTAGAATCATTTTAGATTACAGCAAGAGAGTTTATATATACTCTCAAATACAAATCAAAAGTGCTGGTTGTGATAACTATCAGGAATCTCGTCATAACTACCTGAAATATAATGGGTCCAATCCGACTTCTGTACATAGAGCTTAAGGGGGATGTTAATTTAGTTGAAAGTGAGCTTGAGGGGATTGTTTTAGTTGAAAGTGAAAAATGAAAAGTGTGAAAGTGATTCACATTTCTTAATTCAGGTGTTTGTTTCACTGAAAGTGAATATGAAGGTGAAATGCAAAAAATCTGTCGCATTAAAATTTAATGCAAATTCAAGTTTCCCTTTAAAAAATGTTGTCATATGAAATTGGAAACGTGAGGAGCCCTTTTTAACTAAAAAAATATTTGTTCATTAAATCTTTTTTGTTCCAACGAATAATGTTAGGCTACTTTTCTTTGTATTGTAGGCCCGATCCAGTTCTTTCAGGTTTCAACAACACATCTCAAAAAAGATACGAGGGTTCTCTCTGTTAGTCCCAATAAAGCTTTACTATTATTAAATTAGGCCCCCAAAATTTTGACATTGGTTCCTGGTCTCCTTCTCAAATTAGTCCTTAAATCATTAAAATTGCTATCAAGTCCTCCAAGTCTTATAATTTGTTTCAAATGGATTAATTCTTCCCGTTAATGATAGTAGTTACCAAAAAATAAGCGAAAATAAAATTTTGAAAACAAAATGGTTGAAATATAATACGAGTTTAAATAAAGAAATAAAGATTTCCACATCATCTCACTTCTATACCTCAACAAGAATTTAGTTTTGAAAACATTGTACATCACTTACACGCTGATGTGGATACACTTTCTAACTCGCCAAAAAAAGCAGATGAATAATGAATGAAATAAGAATGTTTCTACAGATAAGTTATACTTTTTAAAATATTATTATGCCTGAAGCCTTTAAATCTCATAAACAAATATATGAATACCCATAATTCCTACTTGAGTATATAATAAATCCAAAAGTATGAAGTTTATTCCACACTTTTTTTTTCACTTTTTTCAATGTGTAATACAGATATACTAACGATGGGGAATTAAATTTTGTATATTATTAATCCGACAAGAAATAAGAAAGAACAAACTGTCTTTGAACGAGCCTCTGAAATGGATTACAAAACTCATGAGGTGAGACCATAAATGTTGGGCCTAAATGAAGCCTCCGAAAACCAGGTTTGGAAGTTAAGAAATTGTCTGGTTCACTAAGTGTTGATAGAAAGAACAGCACACAATACCTTAAACTAAGGACAATCAATAATTCTTTTTTCCTTCATAACTGTTTTCTTTTTCTTCCACAGAATTTAGAATGACAGAAACAAAAATCACATAAAATAGCCTAATATAATTTTGCCCGTAGTTATCATTAAGCAAAACCTTATGGCAACACCACAATGCATTTAAGGTTCGTATTGAACAATTTTCTATGATAAGAAGCAAAACTGCATATCTATTTATTAGCCTATCTATTAATGTCAATACCGTATCCACTTCAAATTGAACAGCTCCGGAAATGAAACACATGCAAGCAGGGTTGCTTAAGAGACGGAGTCCAGAGACTGATAAGCAGAGAAAACATGTTGTTGGATGGAAAGAGATACTAGTTATGTGAACCAATGCTATAGAAGGCGCTAGACGGACTAGGCGTTTGAGCCACTGCCTAGCGCCTAGACGTGTAGGCATACGCCTAGGCGGCGTCTAGGAGTTTGGCTATTTTTAAATTATTTAATTATAATAATTAATAAAATTATGTATTAAATTCACATAAATTTACAAAAAAAAGACATCAATCTTAGATTCACAATAAACCATGCATAGTTAGAGAATAAATAGCCAAAATAATAACTAACAATGTTATAAAAAGTATTAGGAAGCCTAAGCGTTGGACCCAATGCCTAAAGCCTAGGAGGTTTTATTTTTTTATTTTTTAATTACAATAACTAATAGAAAATATCAATGGTATAGAAAGCTTAAGTGTCAGAATGGTGTCTAGGCGGATTTCTTTCTTCATTTAAGTGGCGATCGGGAGGTTTTGTTGAAGATCGGAGAAGGTTTTGGAGGTGTTGATAATTGGAGGTTAAAGAAGTTTGGAGGAGTTTGGGGAACGTGAAGGCTGTAACAAAGAAAATGATGATCCAGACCTAAAGGGAACAGTCCACATAAGCAGACAATGCTCCTCTAAACACTCCCAAAACCTAGGTGGGCAGCCTATGTACCGCCTATGCGCTAGGTGCTAGTTAGGCGACCAAGGTACCACCGCCTATGCGCTAGGTGCTAGTTAGGCGACCAAGGTACCGCCTAGGTCTAAGCGTACACCTAGGCCGACTAGGCCGAGGCTTTTTAAAACAGTACTGTGAACAATTATAGGATGTGGTGGCTTACATGTTTCTATCGTTTAAATAGGCTCAAATGATGCAGTGACCAACAAGAGAGGGTTTACACTGGGGAAAAGCTAGCTGAAAGTATACGGCCTAGGAACTAGTGCATGATAGATTCTATTGCTGCCTATTAGAAACCTAAATTATATAATGCTAAATGCATACCTTTAACAGCTTTCCTGTATGTTTGCAAAGCTGAAGAAGAAAGTCGTCTCCATCCACCCTGAGGTAACAGTAAAAACTAATCAGTATCAAATTACTTGTTCTCGTGCCAAAGGCTTTGCAGAAAAAAAAACAATAAAAAGGGGAATAGAGTATTGATTCACTACGGTCATACATGAAGTGTCAAACTGATGTTGTGAAAAAAGTGATATACGACATACCTGATATATGACATACATGGCACATCAAGGTGGTCTAACAATATTACAAAGAAAATTTGCCGTTAAAACTAGCAGATACAAATATTAACAAGTAGTGGTTTATTTCCAAGTCTCATTCTGAATATTTGAGATCAGATAAACAGATCCCTATTCCATAAAGCTCTGGTAAAGGCCATCACCTCTGTGAAATTAGCAATCACAACTTTTGTTTTACAACAGCAATGCCTGCACCTGTTGTACCGCAACTTCTAGCTGCACCTGCAACTATGACCTGATCCAATTGCTCTTTTAAGTGGTTCTCTTATTGGGCTCCTTTCAGTAAAATAACAAACTAGATTCTTCATCACAGGGCATGTATCTTGTGCTTCAAGAACAAGAAGGTATGACGGTGAAGCACCATATGCCAGATTATCTAGTACGACATAACTTACAATATCTAGCATATATTTTAGATTTTAAGAACAGCATATTCAAACAGACCAGTGTGAGTAGCTTTATTTACTATAGACTATATCTCATGTTCCTGAGTCCAACAATTCTCTTTTCTTAGCCAGGCAAATTTTGACAGGCTGCTCATGAATACATAAGCTAAAATGCAAGCCAACAAAGTACGCTCAACGATCTATGATAGGCCAACTGCCCTTCTAGGTTTTCCGGTGAATCGTTGCCTCTTCCGAAGTTCTCTTATAACTGGACACTTATGAGTTCTGACAAAGGCTAGCAACTGCAAAATTTTATCAAAAAAATGTTAATTTGTTGAATGACACACTTTCATGAATCTCAATAATTCACTAATTAGATTTTTCTTACCCCACTCCCCTGAAGCACTTATTCACTTACAGTTCTGATATAAAAACGAAACTGAGCAGAAGGGCCAGAAGAGAACCAATTCTGGCATATTATCAGTAATACTTTCTATACTCCTTAGCGTATAAACCCAGGCAATTTAGCTGGGAGCTGTGACTTACACATCTCATAATTATTAAGATTTATAGCTAAATAGAATATTAATTTCACATATTGCATATGTCTTGAGATCAAGGTTTTAAATATCGGTTATCGGGGATTTATCGGACGACCAAAATCCTTATCGGATAGCGGAAATCGGGGATATATCGGGGATAAATAGTATTTATCGGAGTGATATACTGGATGATGTGTATATATAATATAACAATTAAAAAATGTAATCTAATCATGCTTAATGAAATATAAACATACCAAAATGTAAATCATCATGTTTAGAATCATTAACTAACTGTAGAAAACGAAACTTGCATCATAGCCTTGAAAAAATATAATGTTAGTCAAAATTGGCCGATAATCCCGATAAAAAAGTCTTACTTATCGGCCGATAAGTGCCGATAACGCCGATAAATCGCCGATAAACCTAGAAAAACAATAACCGATTAAAAATCCAATTTATCCTAGCGGAGAGCTCCCAAATCCGATAACTCGGCCGATAATATCGATTATCGGCCGATATTTAAAACAGTGCTTGAGATGCACAACAGATACATATATACACACACAAAATCGCAGTGTTACCATTTTCATATAAATTTGTAGATAACAGGTCATTATCGTTAGGACAAAAATATAAAACAAATAAGAGCAACTCCAAAATGTCAGATGACGACAACAATTTCATGATTCAAACCTTCATCAGTGACTGGCATTAAAGAGAGTACTGAACTGGAAAAAACAGCAGAAGTGAATGACACCACAAAGTAGACATACAAACTGTTCTATGGTTAAGTAAATAAAGAAAACTATTGTATACAGATGAGCATAAAAATATACCGAGAACAAGATGATAACATACCAATCATTTATCTTATATGCTCTTTTCAAATGCTCCTTCTTTACACGTCTGAGGACCTCTCCTATGTGATCTGAAGCATCTTCCAAATTTTCGACACGCACCTAAACATGAACACATAAAAAATTAGATATGAAGAACACATTCATAGCCACGTCATGCTCTAAAATTGTAGGAGAAAGAGACAAGTGTCATCGGATATTTGTGTTGGTGGAGATTATTCACTGGTGCTTATGAGATTATTCACTTGTGCTTACGGAAGCACATAGCAAAAGATAAGATGAACACCTAACTTGAAATTTTGGATCTGCAAGAAGCGGTAGATAAAACATTATATGCCTCTGTTTTCACTGGCCATGAACTGGTTAAATGCTAATACTACACTAACATGTATAATTATCTGGCACCAAACACGAAAATTGATCCTGAAAATGTGTAGGGCATCGTGAACCAGAAAATCCTTCATGAGTTTGTCTCAGAGGCGGAGCTAAGTTCAACCTTGGGGGCCATCCCCCCCCCCCAAAAAAAAAAAAAAAAAAAACCCCCCAAAAAAAAAAAAAAAAAAAAAAACCCACCCAAAAAAAAGACAAAAACACAAAAATGACCTCCCTTATACTTCTCATATAGGAATTGGTTGGCTTTAGTTAGCTTCTTTTAAAAAAAACTTTGTGACAGCCTTCCTCACATACTATTTGAGCTAACTGTATAAAGGCTCAACAAGTGTAATTAAAAGCCCAACATGTATAAGTGAGCTCACAATTAGGTCCCCCGCATATAATTAAAGGATTAGATGCCCGCCAATCCCCCTAATTCAGAAAACAAGAATTTGTCCGGCTAGTTAACAAAATAAAGAAGATATGTTGCAGTGACAATTATAATGAGTTATTTGCAGATACACCTCCTATATCATCTCTCAATTGCAGATAGACCCTTTGTAATTCTATTAAGGAAAATAGACTGTTGTGATAAATATTTTGTTGACTCTCTTGTTCTCAGGGAAACAGAAATTTGCTTTTTCAGGACAAATAGACCCGAGAATAAAAGAGTAAAAAAATTCACTCAAAAGGTCTATCTGCAATTCACCCAATTATAGATCTTAGACATCATCACTACTTTCAAATTTTAGGATAGCACGAGCAATATTGACTCGCACGTTGCCGCAACAGTTGTGTGAAATAACAAAAAAATAACGGTTCAAGTATTTGGTTTAAAACTATACTGTACGTCTGGCCACTTAGAATAAAAAATATAGCATTATATGTATATATACACACACACACACACACCCCATATAGCATACAGAATGTTTAAAGTTAATGAGATGGAGTATTTTGTGTCTAAGGGAAATTTTATAAGTTAGATTTACAAATAATTAGGGGTAAGACTTTGGGTTCATAGGCAAAAAACTCTTAAGAATAAGTGTGTGGACTTAGAAATAAATGGGGATAAAACTTTGGTTTTATAGGAAAAAACCCATCGATTGTTTGTGATGCCACAGACTTGGTATTAAACGGGACCAAAAATGATTTATGCATTTGGTTCAAAAAATAAACTGCATCTAATGGCTTAGAAAAAATTGTAGCAAGTAATAATAAAATATAACAACTTACATTGTATATCAAATTGGTGAAATACAAAATCGTTCAAAACTATACAATGGACTATTTTTCATTTTTGAGGGATTTTAAAAGAAATTTTGTTCAAAAGTAAATAGGATAAAACTTCAAAAGTTATAGGCAAAAAATCCCTTGAGGGAGTGGGGGTGTTTAGAAAAAAATGGGGTCAAGACTCTGGTTTATATGCAAAAATAATAATAATAAATTCACCTACACTATGCAACGTCACCACATTGATGCGAGAAAACAAGAAAAAAATAACTGCCTTGTATTTTCAGGCGTTAAAGAGTGATTTGGAAATGGATAAGTTTAAAAATAAATGAGGGCAAAACTTTAGATAATAGGGAAAATCGTAGTAAAACTTTGGAAGTTAGTGTGTGTAAAAACAATCGGGTAAAACATTAGGTTTATAGGCAAGAAACACAACTTCGATATCTGGGTGGAAACACAACTTTGATACATGCGTGGATTCAAAAATAAATGGACGGAAATGTTGGACTTAGAGACAAAGAAACAAAAAAATTGGATTAATAGGGTGCATTGTACCATGAACATGCACTACAGTGCAACCGCAATTGCATTAATATAGATAATAATAATAAATGATAAATTGTATTTATCCCTCTTAAGATTTGCAAAAATAGCATTTTTTGTAGAGATATACGCAATTTACCCTAAAATATATGAGGTAAAACTTTGGGTTCATATGCAAAAAACCTCTATATTATACTTTAGCATATTATTATATTATTTTATAATAGGTAAATTTCACTTAATCCCTCTATACTTTGGGGGCTTTCGAGATAGCACCTTGAATTTTGTTTATTCCACTTAATTCCCTAGAACTTTGGGTTTCTCAATTAACCCCTGTTTGAAAAATTTCAAGAAACCCTCATGATGTCATTAATTGTTGATGGTGAAATGAACAAATTGTCCTTTCTGAAATATAACCCTAAAATAGGATACAATGTGATTTTAGTCCTCAGTTCACTCAAAGCTTACAATATTACTCTAGAGGGTTAAATAAAATAATTTCCGGAGGGCTAAGTGGAATAAACAAAGATCAAGAGGTTATATGCAAAACCCTCAAATTTCAGGAGATTTAAGTAAAATTTACCCTTTTCTTAAAGTTGATATAGCATTATGGGCCTGTCTGGTTTTGAAAAAGACTGGGTCAAATTAATTAGGTAAAAACTTTGGGTTTGAACCAAATGGGCCTCTGCTCATCCCTTTTCATATACCAAGAGACTTCACTGTAGCATCTATAGTGCCTAGTTGGGGTATTAAACCGTATGCGTATTTGATGAAATATCTGTTATGATACGGATATGGACCTATGGTTACTCAAATCTATAACCGAGAGAATATGGTTACCGATATGGTTTTGTACAAAAATATCCGGATCAATATACGAATTATCCGACTACACATTATTGATATTGTTACAATAGTTGTAATCCTTAGATTATAGATTTGCATTAATTTTGATGATCAAGATGTCTAATCTTAGCTTTTCAGATATAATGAACATATTAATGAACTCTTTGTATCACATGAACTATATTTTTTCCAATATTGTCTAGTTCTCTCAATATCTATTTTGTATCTACATGCATATCCGCATATATATCAGTATACAGATCCAATTTTAACGAATATCAATATGAATTTTCCTTACCGAGTTATATTCATATCCATATCATGGTGGGTAAGCAGACATGGATATAGTAAGTATCATATATGAGCCACATCCGGACCGAATGCACCCCTAGTGCCTAGCTACAGTGGTAGCCTCTTTAATGTATACATATATAAATAAGAGACTTTAAGATACTAGTCTACTTTAGTTTGATCTCATTTTTTATCAAATAAATAAGAACACTTATCTATCCTATTTGGGTCCCCCTAAGATAAAATTTCCGCCTCCACCACTGATTTGTCTCAATTTAGATAAAAAAATGGTGAGCATGTGGCATGCATATGCATGCAAATCCGCTATCCAATAAACTTCAGCCTGCTTATGACTTCTTACCAAATAGGTCTATAGTGAGATAGGTAAAATATAAGATCTAAGAAATCTGGTCATCTTAATAACCCTTGTGGTTCTATTATACTGTTATCCGACTTGACATGTTCCCTTTCATGAAGTACTAATTAGTAATTAGAACACGATTCTGTGTGTGAGAAGCCAAACTTTTCTTCCACGTTAACTATTTGGATCTGTATTCTCTTGGTTTTTTATAGAATGAATTAATATTAATATAACAAAGAATGAACAATAACCACGATATTTACTACGAGTACCAATTGAATAATATGATAACAGATACAAAGCCTTGTCATAAGAATTTAAGGTCAAGTTTTGCAGATTCTTCTGTTCTACGCGCGCAAATTAAGAACAGGGTCAAAAATTTCCAAATTGTTTCTTGCTACTTCCAGAAATTTCAGAGAAAAGCCAGGACTTTTCTAACTGCTTAAATAACTAGCATTCCCCAAAATCTCTAGCAAACGCACTCCAGACCCAGGACACCCTTTCACAAACCATATATGGTTATGCCTCAACGGATGAACACAAATGCAGGAATATTTTTACTCTCACTTTGCACTCAAAATGACAATCAAAACAATCATTTCAAAAAGCAAAGAATAAGATGGCAGATAGACCAGCAGGCTTTCGCAAAAAATAATAACAATAATACGTACATCAATGTTGTCAAAAAATATAAGTCTGCTGATGGATGGCAATATAGTTATGTACATACCACACCCTTGAGGACGATATCAGTTTCTGAGTCCTTGTTTTGGTAAACAACTCCAGGACAGTCAATCAGAAATATCTTTTTGGTAAGTGTAATGTACTGCCACACTTTAGTCTCCCCAGGAATAGGAGCCACCTTGCAGACCTAGAAAAGAACAGATGCACAAATACAAGAATTAATATATAATACTGGAATTACCACAGCCCAAAGAAAGATTATGTTAGCGACCTTTTTCCTTACTAACATTACAGAGATCTTTTCACAACAGAGCACACACAAAATTCAGTAATAAAGCTTCCTTAAAAAATAATGCAAATCATAATTATTTTTTGGGGAAAATGCTTCCACCACGCTAGGAATTTGAATCAAAGTCAAAATTGAAAAACTCCCCAACCTTTTTTAGAGCCTTCCCTTCTAAGTATTTTTAAAAATCACAATAATACCGTTGTCTCCCTCTTTACACTCATTTCTCCTATCCTACTGGAAATGGAAATGGATATGACTTATGAGTACTAGTATGAGTGCGGGACTCAAAATATTAGTAAAGGGTACAGTATGGGAATGCAGTTTGTTTCGAACTACATATCAGAACGACCCACTAAAATCTTAGTTCCAAACCAAGTATGGTTGAAACGAATCTAACCCTTTTGTCCAATGAGTTTAAGGAAACGGATAAGACGCATAGGATATACATCCAAGAAGAGTATTACAAGTGTTTCAAATTAAAAATTATTCTCTAATAGAGTACTCATCTAAATAAATGTATATTAAGAAGTGTCCGAGAAGTGTCAGTGTCCACTACATCTTGAAGTACGGGTACGGCTTCATGATAGAAGTACCCATGCAATGTAACTCTTCTCCAACACAAAAACCATTCTCACCCTCCAACCTCATCTCACTCCAGCCTATCCCTCTCACCCACCAACCACCCACTCGCCGCATCCTACCCCACCCTACCTCCATCTCTCAACCAACCAAAACACCTCAGTCCAACCTAATACCCCCCCCCCCCCTTCTCGGTCTCTCACCACCAAAATACCTCAGTCAACTCTAGCATCCCCTTCTCCCATTCTAAACCACACCTGATATAAAGCGCGTATTTGCACATTGCAAAACATTGTGCAACTTCTACAAAGAAGAGAGAGATGAATATATGTTTCTACATTCTCCGGCTATCACCTACTACTTTTGATTATCTACATTCTAACCTATAATTTCTACCTTATAAATTTCCCAAATATGTCTGATTCATTATCTAGCTTTTCCCAAGGCATAGTAGCTTTCTCTCTTGTTAATCATTTACGAGTACTCTGGTGCATACGATGCGTGCATAACACCGAATATAGGGAGTGTAGTTCAATTATCTAGAAAACATACAATTTGATTGCATTTTTTCATTTTCTTTTTCTTTTTCTCTTTTTTTCAACTTTGAAGGCATTTCTGTGATGTTTTTTAAATGCAAGCATTTCTTTTGATTTTCTAAGTGTGAGAGCCTTCTCGTTAATTTTTTTCAAGTACGAGAGCATTTAAAATTGATTTTCTAGGAACCTTGATTTTTTTTGTGTGAGGGCATTGATTTTTTAGGTGAGGGCATTTCTAGAATTCTAAAATGCGACTCACAAAGACCAAAAAAGGGGTTTTCTCAATACATAGTACTAGCACTATGCACGTGATGCGTGTTGGAGACGGTACAAAGTTATTAATTAATTTTGAAGTTTGATCACAATAGAGCATTGTCAGATATATTTTTAAATTGAAAGAGGAAACAAACAGAATTAAAAACATTATCGTTTCTTGCATTCATTCCACTTGAATTAAAAAAAACTACAAGTGGCTTTCGCTTTGCTCTAAAGAAGCACTTACATTTGAGGTTTTGAATTTTTAGTTGAGGGTGGATTTGATGGTGAATGTGGGGTTAGGTAGCTAGTTTTCCTTTTCCAAATGTGTCATTATTAAATTATATATTTATTGGAAATTGTATGTACAGTTTGTGGGATATATTTGGCATTTTTTAAATGGTGACCGTGACTACCATAGGGGTAGAACACCAAATAAAGACGTTTCTAAACAATGGTAACAAAATTGCCACCTTTCAAGGAAGATACTACTTTTCTCACTTGTTAACCACCTTTTACACTTATTAGCCATAGCTACCTTTTTTCTATTTCTTTGCCACCTTGTGACGGCAAATACTATTTTGTTCTCTTTGATTACATTTTACTTTTCCTAGTTACTTTTTCTTTTAAGTCTTAGTATTTAATGAGAAATGCTAATTTTCAATCTTATTGACTACCTTTTAAATTTATTAGCTGTTTTTCTTTTACATGCTGCATTTCATCCATATTAACTACCTAGCAAAGATAGGAAAGTAAGAAATAAATATAGCTAAATAGGAAAAAAATTAAACAGAAAAAAAGGTCGACAATAAGAAAGAAAGAAAACCCAAAAAAATTAGTTCCTGAAAATGATAGATGGTCAAAAAAGAAAGAAAGACAGACAACAAAAAAAAAGTGGACAAATAAGAAAGAAACATAGTCAGAATTCAGAAAATAACAAAGGTAGTCAGTAAGAGCAAAAGTTAGCTAAAAAAGAAGAAATATAGAAAGAAAAGAACAAAAGAGCTC